CAATGAGAGTTACTGATATTGCTGAGCACGAGCCGACGCAGCCTTTATTTTGTATTTGCAGAGTTTTTTAAAAAAAAAAAACTTTAGCTAGCTTTGTTGACTGAAATCTTGGGGCATGAAGTGAGACAGACTCCACTCCGAGTCCATCTCATGTGGGGTGCTATCATTATCCACTCCCACAAAGCGTCTCTGTTTTTTAGGACCCACCCACAACACCTGGGGTGATCCAGTCAATAGTGTTGAAAATAGACTTCGGATGAAATCCAGCCTCAGCCATGTTTCTCCATCGTTCCACCAAGCAAAGTCTGAAGCCTTCTTTCTTTTCCCCCCCATATGTGTGTGCTTGTGTGTGTGCACCTGGAAGTCATGACGACCTCTGGTGACTGACCCCTGCTGGGGGCCTGGAGGATATTCAGAGAGGTGGCTGAATAAAGTCTGCCCCCACCTCTGGTATTCCAAGGAGGTCTCCCATCGAAGTTCTTGCCAGAGTCAACCCTGCTTAGCGTTTGAGACCTGATGAGATCGGGGCTGCCTGGGCTATCCGGGTCAGGGCCTGACGCCTTCTTTCAGCCTAAGGAGACTTCCTCCGTTCCAGTGGAAGAGCCGCTCATCGAAAAGGCAGCTCTTTAGGATGGAAGAAGTTCCTCCAGCCTAAGGCAGAAGATATGCCTTTGATTCCTTATTTCAGGTCCCCCCTTTTTATAGCCTCCCATATGTAGATAGGAAGGAACAAACAAAAGCACTTATGTTTAAATAGTTTTCACCTCTCATCTAGATAAACTGACATTCCGTTTCAGAAAAAGCAAGTCGGTCTCCTCAGACAATGTATTCACCTGGTCCCCGTAACTCTCTTGTAGTTATCCTTGGAATACACCGCTAAGATGCTGACCCCAGAGCCTATGTTAACCAGCAACATAGGATATGGATTATCAAGGCAGTAAGGTTTTTTCTGACACCGTTCAGGATCCGCAGGATTTTCAAAATAATAGCATTCTGGCTGGCCGTTGAATCCCACAGAATCCACGTAAAGGAGGCCCTGGATCAAGCAGTCCAATTCATCCAGCTTATGGAGCTGCAGGTCAGCGATCTGCAAGAGAAGTTAATAAGTGAACACCGTCTGATACAGCATTAAAACTAACAGAAGGGTCGAAAGGTTTTGCTCAAGTACTTTGTACTGTTTGAGTTGCACAAAGGGTTATAGCCAAAGCAATTTTTAAACAGTATTATCCATACAGGAAGTTTTAAGCCAAGTGTGCTTTCCATTTGGTTGTCAACAAGCACAAGCACAAAGTCACCGGAGCCATGGGTCTCACTGAAGAGATCTTGCTGTTATTCCACTAGGCCAGAGAGGGGTATGTATACAAGAGGAAACCCACCTGCTTTTGCCTCTTGCAAGCAGGGTTTTATATGGTTTCAAAAGCCTACACGAAATTTGCTTTGACCAGAAGCAATACTGGGAAGCAAAAACATTGCTTGCATATATTGTGGGAAACCACTCTGGACAGCTCTCTCTACGTTTAAAGCACAGCTACGAAGTCAGAGCATTTATATTATGACATGGTTTATCAATTACCATCCAATAAACTAGAGGTAGAACTTCACAGCTGAATTAAAATTTTATGAATGGCCTTGGGCTGAAATACTGCCTGGGGACAGTTTGTGTCGATCCAAAAAGAATAAAAAGACTAAATGGATCACTGATGAGAAGTATTCCTTTTATATGCGTTACGCCCAATTCTTTCATCAGGCAGCAGTATATAAAAAGCTGTCAGTTCTCATAAAGAACTGCACTGGTTGCAAATAAAAGGTTTTTAATTCTGTGGTCCAGTTCAGAACCTTGCAGAACTTCAAAAGCCAAAACAGGAAGCTGGTGTGAAAGGCAGGCAACATCCACTCTACCCGATATCTCCCCAGAAAAGAGTCCCTTAATAATCTATAGGGTTGGGATGTGACCTACCCTTATGCACCTCAACTGCCTCCTCCTACTTCCCCATGCTTGCACTCATACACATGAATCTGCAACTGAAAGGCATAATAAGGGCAGTTCTTGGACTTGGATATGTCAGTACCAGCCCATTCCTGAGTCTTTCCGCCTGCCGAATGTCAATTTCAGCCCCATTATATCCTATGGGCTATTAAAGTCAATGGTGAAAACATAGGGTATATTCTGGGGGCTGGAGAGGAGGGGGTTTGAGGGAGAGGCTCCAAACTCACAGGGTAGCTGCTGGAGCCTCTCCCCAAGATACCAACCAAGTTTAAAGAACATTGGACCAGGGGGTCCAATTCTACGGGCCCTCAAACAGGTTGCCCCATCCCCTTCATTGTTCTCTATGGTGGGGGGAAAAGTTACAGATGAACCGAATGCACATCCCTAGTGGCAGAGGAGGAGACGGTATCTGAGGGGCCAGCTATATATTCGCAGCCAGGAACCAGTACACTGGCCCCTCAGCTTCCCAACCATGGGCCAGTAACAGAGAGCCAGTTCCCAGTCAGTTCTCCCCCTTCATCACCATAGCCTTGGGAATGTCGTCAGAAGTAGAGCAATATAGACCTTTAAGCCAGAAGGTGCAGTGCCCGTCTAGCAGCACAGCATTGACCCAGCTTCAATAACAAGGATGAGTGCTTGCAGGAGCAGGACTGAGGTAGCCAGCAGGTGCATGACACAACACAGGTGGTTAGCAGTGTGGAAGCAACTCGTCCCTTAGCTACTGACTGTATTCTGGATCGATTTCTTTGTCTCTAATCTTGGTCTGTGTCTAGGGTTGCCATCCCTCCAATGGGGCCGGGGTTTCCCCCGCTTTCAGGGGCCTCAATCTGCTGCCACCCAGCTGGCCAGTGGGAGGAGCCCCACCCATACCCGATGCGCTAACGTCATCGCGCAAGGCACATAACACAGGAAACACTCTAGCATTTTGGGGGAAACTATGGTAACAATAGAGTTCCCCCTAAATGCTAGAGTGTCCGCACATGACGTGCCCTGAGTGATGACATCACTTCCACATGACATCATCATGGCCCGCGCCAGAGGACTCCAGGAAGGAGACTGGAGCCCCCCACCAGAATGCAGTAAGGACCTGGCAACCCTACCTGTATTGTGGAAAACTTGTTCTCGGATTTCCCTTCAGATTTGAAGCCGTGAGTGCTGCCTCACCAGTGCCTGCCAACCCTGACATTGAGAAACTAACTCTGTGTGCTACTGTGTGTCAGCAGTCTGTCCACCAGTGCCCCTACCACACCTTCTACAGCCACACAGGCAATATGACTCATTTCTGTGTCATGAATAATATAGAACTGGAACATCGCTTATGACAGGGTTCAAAATACTAAGCACTTCATTTATGGAGGTGACCTGGCACCATTACTGTCCCAGTCCAACCAATGGAAGCTATAAGTTAGAAATCTTAAGAGTTTGAAAAAAAAGCTAAAGGTTTCCCTTGCTCCAAAGCCAGTTGAATCCGACTCTAGGGGGCGGTACTCATCTCCGTTTCCAAGCTGAAGAGCCAGCCAGCACTGTCTGAAGACATGGTCATGTGGCTGGCATGACTAAATGCCAAGGTGCACAAAACGCTGTTACTGTATCTATTTGTCTACTTGCAATTTCTTGCTTTCGAACTGCTAGGTTGGTAGGAGCTGGGACCAGAGACCGGACCTCACTCTATCACACAGCACTAGGGTCTCAAACTGCTGACCTACAGACCTTCCAGTTTGCAGCTCAGCGTCTTAACCTCTGAGCCACCACATCAATCCAGGCCTGCAAAACATGGTACCCACCAAGATGATTACAATCCACTATCCAGGTATGGTGGCCTACCAAGGACTTGATAGAAGAGTTTAAATAGTGCCCTTTTGGGTCATACACCAGCGGTCTATCTAGTCCAGCATTCTGCTTAACATAGTGGTTACCAAGTTGCTCTAGAGAGCCAACTGGTATAGGTATAAAGGCCAATGCCTTTCCCTGATGTCACCTCCTAGCACTGATATTCAGAGGTTTACTGAGTGAACATGGAGGTCACCTCTAGTCACCAAGGCTACCCATCCATGAGCCTATCTAATTCCTTTCTAAAGTTGTCTGTACTAGCGGTCATCATTACATCCACCTGGAAGTAAATTTCACAATTTGATTGCTCATTGACAAACTTCTGGATTTTGCCAAATAACTTCCAAGATACAAAACTGGCAGCTGTGACAGTTTGATGGGCCATAAATAATGCAGATCAATGTTCATCTAATAACAACTGATCAATCAGTGTAGCGATGGGGGGGAGGGGAAATGTTCAGCAAGGCACATTTGTTAACATGATAAGAGCAGACACTGGCAAACACATCCACCCCCTTCACCAAAGAGAAAAAGCTGTTTCTGATGGGTCTTTATAATCAACAATTACTTAAGGTTAAAAGCAGGTTTGAAGTAACAAAAAGACTTAAGTTTGATAGAAACACTCTCCTGTATTTGATCTGGCACTACTGTTGCCCTGGGGGAACACTTCTTAATCAAAAACATCTGAAATTCCAACATACCGTAAGAAAATCTTCCTCAAACTTGTAGGCTCCACCTCCTGTGGCACAAAGTGTGGTGTGCAAGCTCGAGAAGTTCTTTTCACTACCCATCTGTATGAACCTGTGCATGGCACAGCTTGGAAAACGGATGAAGTGAAGATTCCCTTTGCGTCCACACATAGTCAAGTTTTTCAGTTCAAGGTGGACATCTCGAATCCCAGTTTTACCATAGGCTGTGTTGGAAGTCAGATACTTCCTAATGCTTTTCAGGTTTTCCACTTCCTCCTGTTCCTCTTCAGCTGTAATGTCTTTTGGCTCAAAGTAGACCAGTTTAACGAGTGTTCCACCAATATCCATGCCAAACCATGGGAATGCTAGGAGAGAGGGAAAAAGGAAATCATGACATACTGAAAGCAAGTTATCCAAGACATTTCTGAAAATCCAGTGGAAACAAAAGCCCATAAAGTCAAAAGGGTGATCACTCACCTGCAGTGCTCAGTTAAAAGAGTTCTACATCTTTTAAGCTAAACTCCAAAGTGAATTTCAGTGCAGTTCTTGGGGTGGGGTGAAAGTGCGCAGGGAGCCAACTAGGTGCTATGCCTGCGTATCTTCAAGGTATGCGGCATAGATCCAAGATATGCCAGTGGAGCTCCCTGGCAACACAGCACCCCAGCTGGCAGGGAAAGGGAGCAGTTGCAGAGCACTTCATCATGGATCAGTAAGTGTCATTTGGATGGCTGCAGCATGCACTTGGGGGGGGGAGGTAGTTGTGAATTCCCTGCATTGTGCAGGGGGTTGGAGTAGATGACCATGGAGGTCCCTTCCAACTCTATGATTCTAGGGCTCCCTGGCACACGGAGCTCCCCATGGTGATTCAACAGGGAGACGTCTGAAAATGACTGGTACAATCCCTGCCACTCTGCTTAGCCACCACTTCCAGCCCAGCTTCTGAAGCACTCTGCCTTGGGCAGCCTTCTGACTAGCAAGTCTGTCTCACTCGGATGCATACTGAGCCAGGGACAGCTCAGCCTGTCTCTCGGTGGCCCCTGGGAGCAGCTCACAAAGCTCACATACTGCCTATTGGCCACAAGGTATAGATAGGAATTCTCAGTCTGGGCTAAGTGATGCTCTGTATTCTTGGTGCTTGGGGGGGGGGCAACAGTGGGAGGGCTTCTAGTGTCCTGGTCCCACTGCTGGACTGCCTGATGGCACCTGGTATTTTTTGGCCACTGTGTGACAGAGTGTTGGACTAGATGGGCCATTGGCCTGATCCAACATTGGCTTCTCTTATGTTCTTATGACCAAGAGGGTGGGCTCTGCCTCACTCAAAGCACAGGAGGAGCAAGTTGGTAAGGCACGGCATCCACCCCTGGCAGCCACAACAACTAATTCCGGCATCTGCATTCAGTAGCATGCATCCAACCACACTATAAAAACTTAAGGGCACTGAGGTTTGCTGGGGGGGGGAGTGATTTCAGCTGATTCCCCCTCATACTGCAGACCCACACTGAGGTCCACAGACCCTCAGGTAGTTCAGCCGGCTACACAGCAACGGGGGTCATTCAGTGGAAATTGCGCCTTGTCTTGAGAAAACTTAAGGTGCTTCAAAGTATACAGGTCTCTGTTACCTAAGGTAGCAAAGTATACAGGTCTTTGCTACTCTCGTCTCTCAGCTTTTCTTGTCACCTCTGCCATTGCTGAAATACAGAATGCAAGGTACTCAGTGCAAGAACCCATCTTTCTTTGAGAGTCAGGTCAAAGTGAAGGGGTAGGTATCTAAGAGATCGAGGCTCGAACTCCCACTTTGCTCTAGAAGCTCACAGGGTGACCTTGGGCCTGTCATTCTTTCTCAGTCTAACCACTGTTGTGAGGATAAACAGAGGACAGCGGAATGATGTAAGCCATCTGGGGTCCTGGGGGGGTATAAACATCTAAATAAAAATAAGTTACCCTCTAAAGCACCACATTCTTCAGTGGTGCTAGGGAGGCCATGACAGCTAGGGCTTTTCTGAGAAACTTCATAGTGCTGATGAAGATAAAACAATTGATCTGTTTTAACTGAGAAGAGATCTGTGTGCTGGACAGTGGCCCACTCATTCAGCTCAAAAATAGCAGTGTCCAGCAACCACTCTTGCTGTGTGGAGAAACGTTTGCCCTTGTTTCACCACCAAGAGACAGACATGTAGACAGTGCCAAACAGACCTGCTCACATCTTGCATAAATCTTGACCACGAAATCCTCATGCAGCCTGTCTGTAGTCCGATTATATCCTTAGAACTGTTGAAATGGAGCCCACGGGAAAAGGAGAGGACAAAACAGCAACAATTCCTAGGCTGCTCGCTTTCACTGCCCCCCTCCCCTTGCAAAACAACGCTCCCAAAATAGTTCCTTCTCCTCCTATTTTTGGCCTTGACACAACTACTGCAAGGGAGTGATGAAGAGGCCCTGCTTCAACAAGTTCCTCCCCATTTAACAAGGAAATGCAGGAAAAATTTAGCTCCCCGTCCCGAGGTAAAAATAAAACCCCCTCAGCATTCCATGGTCTTGTTTTCATCCCTGACTTCCCATAGTACACAGATGACAACCGAATTAAAATACATTTGGTTCGGCACTAGGAAATATTAATGTGGAGGGTTAGTTTAAACAACCTCAGTTGAGGCTTTCCAAGAAACAGTCATGCAGTGAGTCTAGCGCCAAAAAGGTTCTTAGCACCAGTCTGAACACCATGTGTAGTGTGGTTACGCCAGAGTTGGGGATTCTGGCATGCAGATGCCACGCGCACAGGCCAGGATATGAGGCAAGGAAGATCTTTTTAGGCCATTTTCACTGGCTTCCAGTTTGTTTCAAGATTCATAAGTGCTAGTGTGTAAGGAACCACCCCCTTCCATGTGAACTAGCCCATCAGTTAAAATCATCACTGAAGACTCCGTCTTTGGAAGTGAGCCAAGCATTTATCAGAGAGATTAGGTCCTCCTCTGTGGTGGCACCAAAGCCCTGGACGTATTTGCCTAGGATCAGTATTCACATTTGTCTTCTCTATTTGTTAAATCTGATTATTTTTAACCCTGCCATTACAGGATCATTTTTACCTTGTCCCTCTTCCAAGGGAATCAGGGAAGGTCATTCATACAGGGCTTTCCCTGCCTCACAACCTGAGCCGGCCTTGGCTGGGAGGATGGGGTAGAAATCCAAATAAACAAACAAGCAACATCCTGTCAGGTCGGTGAGGCTGAGAGAAAGCAAAGAGCACAAGGTCACCCAGTGAGCTTCACAACCAAGAGAGAATCTGAAACCGGGATCTGTCATATCCTAGTCCAGCACTCTCTGAACACCACCCCGGTGCTCTGCTACTACTATTTTGGAGCCAGGCAAATGTTGTCATATCCTCTCATGCTTTTAACACTGTTTAAAATGCTTTAAGAGGGATTTAGCTAAAGTTATGATTTATTCAAGGTTTTTTTTCACCATAACGTATTTTGTTTACTGGATGATATTCATGTATTAATTGGTTTTGTGTCTTTTTATAATTTTGCCTGGAAGAGGCCTTGAGGGCTGTAATGTCAAAACATAGGAAATAAATTGTCCAAATGAATAAATGTTATGCCTAATGCAACATACATAGCATCGACATATATTAGTGCTTTTCAGTAGCCTGAGTGTAAGGGGTGAGGGCAACACTGAAACCAGTCATGAACAGTGAAGTTGTGGAAGCTGAAAAATATTCATAACCTTCCCTTCCTTGTAAGAAGAGTGATACCCTTCTGAAAGCAAGAACAGAACAAGTTTCTCCTCTTCCTTGGGGAAACAGAACAGGTTTCTTCTCTTCCTTGGGGAAAGAAACCAACATTTTCTGTGGAAAAGAAACTGAGCTATTAGACTGGCTTCATCACTTCAGGCAAACCACTTTATCTGGGCCAAATCTTCCTAGAAAAACTGTTGTGTAGATAAAATGTGATAGGCATCTCCTGGGGAAATCTTTGATCATCTCCTACTTTGACTACTGTGGCTTTCTTCGTCTAGCTTTCTTCTCAATCTTCTCACTGACCAAATTGACACTCCGGCCGCATAGGGTGCATCGTAGGGTCCTAGGGTTCTAAATTACATTGTAATTTAATGTTTTTGTAAGTATGTTCTAACTTTATTTATAGATTGTTTTATTGGATGTTGTGAGCTGCCCCGAGCCCTGTGACCCAGGGAAGTGGTAGGGTATAAGTATAAAAATAAATAAATAAACAAATAAATAATCCCTTCCTCAAAACCATTGCTTCCACTTGACTATATCTACCACAAACTTCTTCTCCTCACCTCTAAAGTTCTCCAGAGCTTCAACAAATTAGGCTGGATCCCATCTAAATTCTGTGCATGGAATGATGACCTTGTCGCTTTTCCCTTCCCACTGCAGCCCGAAATCTCCTTTCCCAAAATGCTGCTCCCTAGGAGCAGAATCAGGGGAGAGTCAGAGAGGTGCTGCAGCAAGGGGTTACAACCCCCCCCCCCGGTTGCACAGTTATTTTTGGATAGGATCTCATCCATCATTTCGCTCAACTTCTTGCTTATGACACATCCATTGTTCCAGCTCTCCCACCTTCAGTTGATAGTTCTCTTTCTCCTGTACAAGATTCTGCCCTTTTCCTCTCTCCAACTGGAACCCCTTCCCATAACATATACATGGCCCTCCTTCTCCACCTCCTTCCTATCCCTCCTCAAAACCAACTGTCTGCAATAATTTTGGTTTATTGCTTTAATCCCAATTCCTGCATTCCTGGGAAAGAATTCCTTCCCTCCCTTTGTCACACCTCACCAACTCACTTGTCTCTTTCAGACAGTAAACTCCTTGTGGGTAGCAGCCTGTTTCTACCTAGGTAACTGTAAGTCATCATGAAGGTAAACGGCACTGTAAGAAGGAATCATCATCATCATCATCATCATCATCAATATATCTAATAACCAAGTTGCCCCCTCCATGTGGATATCTAAATCTGCACATCGGGGGCACTTGGGGGGGGCAGAGAGATTTTCCTGCACACTTGGAGCAGTTCCCAGCAGTGTTCCCTCTAAGCTGAGTTAGTGTGAGCTAGCTCACAGTTTTTTAGCCTCCGGCTCACACATTTTTTTTGTCTTAGCTCAGGAAGGATGGCTCCAAAGCAAACTGATTTATGCAGTAGCCAGATCACTGGCTCACAACTTTAATGCCAGTAGCTCACAACGTAGAATTTTTGCTCACAAGACTCCACAGCTTAGAGGGAACACTGGTCCCCAGGTGTGCAGAAAAATCTAAAAAGTTGAAAAAAAATATACGGGGGATATTTAACCCCTCCAAAAAAAGTAAAAGCATTCCCTGCGCATGTGCAGAGAATGCTGTGGCCATTGGGGG